CTGTACTGATCTCCATGTCAGAGGAAGAGCCACCTCATTCGGTTCCGAGTTCTGTCCGCGATATCAGTCCTTAACATCCACATCCTGTCATCGAGTAAGGAAAGGGCGAACCAGTTCGCGATCATTTCAACACTACTCAATATCTCCTTTCGGATGAATCATTCCTTTCTCTGAAAAGGTATCTCATCGGGATTACGAGCTTGTTTATGGCCTGAGCTCCATGAATTTGAGTTCAATATGTGAATAACGAATGATGAAGTGTTAGCGTTTATGATTCCCACAATGAAACTAGGAGAAATACGAGGTCTGGCGATAAAGTTCCAGGACAGATTTTTTGGTGAGTCTGTCAACATCACAAAAATTATTTTCATTCCATGGACTGAGAGATTAAACTGCTGGGCAGTGCTGTTTTAGTCCTCATCTAACTAGTATCTTGAATAATAATTTGGCTGGCAATTTAACAACTCAGTGCGTAAGGCGTCTGTCATATTCAAAGAGTGAAGCAATGCTTCGTCACATTTTGTCTCAATCCGAGAATAAAGGTGCAGCGATCCATCAAATGTTCTAAGAAGTGTCTTGACAAGTTGTCTCGTCATACTCCAAGAATCTTGAATAGTTTTCAAGGCTTTCCGGCAGTAGAAATGACATTGAAAATAATGACTGATTCAGCCATCCCTTGGGTGAATGGATGGTGATGGTTGGGTTTGAGGTGGATCTGAGTGTCTTCACTATTTGCTAAAAGCCTTGAAGGTCATTCAAAATGATTGGAGCATAACAAGGAACTTTGCGAGGTACCAACAACGTTTCATGGATTACTGCAGCAGTATTGATCGGTTTGAGAACAAATTTTTATGAAGCATTGCTTCACTCTGGGAATATTACAGACGCCTTACACACTGAGCTGCTACACTACCAGCCAAACTCTCATTCAAGATGCTAGTCAGATGAGGGCTGACACAACACTGCCCAACAGTCTAATCTATCAGTCCATGAAATGAAAATAATCAGTCAATAAACCGTCAATGATATTGACGGACTCAAAAAAATCAGTCCTGGAACTTTATTGTCAGACCTCCTATATGACGAGGTACTAAAAAATCCTGCGAGAAACAATTCCAGGGAAAGAGGGAAGTGAAGTTTTGTGTACTGTGCGAACCGCGAGACCTATACCGCCATCTAGTAATCTGGCGGAGAACTGGCGGGCCCGCATTGGGTTAACTACATCGTTCCCCAGCATATACGTTCCCACGACCTTTCCCACCTTTTACCAACGTTGGACCATCAAAACATGTTTTTTTTGGCGCGATTAGCAGTATCTTTGAGAAGTATCACCAGCCAATAGCATTTCCGTTTTTCAAAATTGCACTTTAGGACTAAAGAAATCATGGACGTCAAATGACGTTGGTGTGACGTCGATGCAACTTCCGCGACGATGCGACCAGAATGCAACGTCGGTTTCGCAACGTTATGTGTCTGTTGGGAAGGTGTTCAAGGTAAGGTGTCAAGGAATTGATGAAATATGCTATTCTGAGACAAAGGAATAACATTTTCGTTCCGTTAGAGATCGGATTTCGGAAACCAGTCCCTTAGCCGCAATATTTCTGGAAGAAGAAGAAAAAAAAATCCGTAAAGAAAATGAAGTGGAGTTTCCTTGGGAAAGCGATCGGAGAAGAGAAGGACTTTTGGTCGGAGTTTTTTTAGTGTTACAGCGGAAGAACTCGCTGTTGTCCAAATAAACTTTTCACTGCAGATAAATTTGTGACCTTGAATAATGCACTATGGGTAAGCAGATGCTTCTTGTTGGCGCAAATGACACGGTAATATGGATGACTCGTTCACGACTCCTCTCATTTTTATGACGCAAGAGGAAGGAATTCCTCTGCTGTTGCCTCATTTTCGCTTCCCCAAAGATGAAGAGTGGGCCTTCCTCATCAGCGCCGAACGCAGATGGAATCCATTGCAATTGGCAATATTGCCAAGAAGCCTCAGAGGAAAAGGATGACGCGAGTGTCCGAACCCCCAATGGGAAGGATTAATAAGGCAGGAAGAAAGACGCGATAAGCAAATCGTCGTCCGAACCGGATGGATGACATGCTCACCAACGGGGAGAAGAGTGCTCAATGATGCCGGATTCTCGCCCACTCTTTCCTCTGATACGCACGCATGTCTTGCGACTCCTGAGAGACAGAGTGCTGTATACCACCGTGGTTCGGCATGTCATACGTGGTATATAAATTCATGAATACGTTCAGGTTATGATGGTTGAAATTCATCATGTGTTGCTGCTTGTGATGGGTACGTACAAGTACAATTTTGATTCTTCAGCCGAGTTCCTCGAATATCTCAGTTGGTTCTATTCCCGCTAAAAGGCCTCATGCTTGTTAATTCCAAACGGGGAATGCAATACTAATTGCCTCGCAACAGCGGCTGCTTTACACTGTTAACCAGATTCCCAAGCTTCTTTCAACCGGAGAGGGTGCAGTTTGCATTTATTTTTTTTCCAAGCCATTTATTTTCTTGCTCGTCCATACCAGAGGGGTTTCTCGCATAGGCGATCAATGAATGCTGGAAAATAAATTAATTTAAGGAAAACTCTCCAATACATTCCCCAGAGCATTGCAAAGGAAACTCTCGCCCTCACCGCGAAAGTTTCTTTTCTCGGAAATTCATCATCTTCCAAAGGAAAATAAATTCACATGGAAACCCTGGAAGAGAGATTTCCAATGCAAAGGTGGTAAATTTCAGGCGATAATTCTTTAAACTGCTGATATTACATCCATCTATCCGATGAAGCGGGAAAGAAAATTTGCTTGTTTTTCATATGAAATTCAGAAAATTATCATAGTTAAAGCTATCAACTATCTTGCTTTTCAGGGAAAGGTGCTGCAAAAAATTACCTAAATGTCAAGCGTCTTCTCATAGAGTTCCACTTTCACAAAATGAAAAGAGCTCTTCTCTCAATTTGGGCTTGAATTTACAATGGGAGCTCGTAGAAGCAATTGCAGGAAGCTTGAAGAAAAAGCTATTACTTGAAGCTGTCATTTCAGAATGGAATGAGAATGGAAACATTAAAAGACACGGAACATTTGCACACTTGATGCGAAAAGGCGCGAAGTCTTCACGCATGCACTGTCCTGCATTGAACGTGCCTGATTAAAATTTCCCAAGTAGCCATGGATATTCCAAAACGCGTCCAGTTGTCCAGAGGAGGTCGTCCCTCTGGACGAATACAAGATGTCATCGCGACAACAAACATACCCGCGTAGCCATTTTGATTCAAAAGAAATTCATTGGACATTCCCTCATGGACACTTGGGCATCCAATGGATATCCTCCTAGTATATCTCCTGGAAGACTAAATGTCTCGTCCAAGGGAAATCCTTGGACATGTCCATTGGATGGACTATTGGATGTCCGTCTCTTTGGTTCGATTGCAGGTTCCCTTTGGGAAAGCTTTTGGATGACCATTGAGGGGTGCAATAGTAATCCCCAGGTAGCTATGGAGCATAATTTGCATGTTATTAGATATTCAAAGCAAGGGGAGGAATACTTTCTGCAATTTTACGACCTCACCCACTCATATTTATGGGAGGAACTAGAAGTGATTCGTCAAGGTGGAAATTAAGGTATTACTGAGATGTAACTCTCAATTAACCATCCTTACCTCTCAAATCAAGATACTTTTTCCCATCGCCAAGGGGGGCATGACCTGAATAAGAAAGGAATAGACTTTCTTGGCAAGGGGAACCACTCTCTCACCGTGCAATGTGCAAGAATTGCCAGTAGTCTTCTTGAGCTTTCTTACGTTTCTCAACAAATGAACAACTTGGAATGAATACTTTCCTTCTTCTTGTAAGTGGGAAATTGTCAAGTAGAGAAGGAGAGCCTCCGCAGAACAATTCATTAGCATTAAGGAAATCAGTAGACATACTGTAGTGGGATCATTGCCCCCTCCGCTTATATTGCGGGAACTTGTGTTTATTAAATGAACTGCTAGTTGACAGGTTAGATGGGGGACCTCAACGGGGCGGGGACTCCAACCAAGGACATCCATGGTAAGACTGTGAAAGGATGTCTTTGGAAGATCCTTTGCTGAGCGTCCAATGGATGTCCAAAGATGAACTGACGCATCATTTCCTTCCTAATGTCCAACTGTTTAATGAAATCATGCGCTGGTCAATATATGATGTAGAAATGTGAAACCCAATTTTCAATCTTTTTTACCCTTTTTTCAACCTTAAGCCCCACCCACCTTCCCCCCTTCTCTACGGAAATCACTAACGTTCGGGCCTGGCCTAACCGAAGTACTGCCTTCGGTCAGGCCAAGGCCTACCTTTTTTCGCTCAAAAGTAATTCAATCCTCGACTTACGGACCAATTAGGCCTATAAGGATTAATCCCTGGCCTTCGAGACACCTTATCGAGGACGTGTAACGTTAGGCCAAATTTATGTCCATCAGGAGTTTCATGAGCCATTTCGGTGCGGTCGGGGACCATTAGGCCTATCCAGAGTTCCTCGAATCGTCTCGACTCGTTCTGAGAAGGTGCCTTTAGCGCGCATGATATGGAAGCTGGCTTCCATCATGTTAATTTAGGGATGTTCGAATGAGATATCTCCGTATTCCACGAAATCGATCGGCCACTGCAAAACCCTGTTTCAATATCAGATTATCCCATGAATTCAGCACATTAATGTGTTTTCCATTAAAAAGAGAATATCCAGACTACGATGCTGAAGCCGATGAAGTAATGAATCTGGGATAAGTAAGGCACGATATCCGGCAACACTGGAGGAGGGGACTGGCCCATCGCACTAAGCCTAAATTAACTGCATTTAATTTAATTTTCCTTGGCGTAATGGTGGACTGAAACCATGAAAGGAGACTTTTTGTCTCCTCCAGGTCAATATCCTTCGTTTGGTTGGTAAATTTCCTCCAAAAACTTCCCAGGAGCGGCTACTCAGGGGGGGGGGGGAAATAAAATATACCGGAACGAGTTTCACATCTTCAAAAAGCGAGATTCAATTATCTATATAACCCCAGGGAGATGGAGCTTCAAATTTGCTGGGGTGAGCGACGATTGCCAAGACAGCTGTCCCGGCGACAATTAAAGAAATGAACAACTATCTTAGCTTCGGTTCGACTCATCGCATGGCAGTGAGAGCACTCCACTTCGTTCAAGACGCACGATAAAAAATCCGGGTTTCCGTCACACATTTTATTGGCATCATGGGCTTAACCCAGTATTGTAGCGAGAGTTTCATTTTTCGGAGTGCCAATGAAGTTCTATGAGGGCCTTAAAAACTTTATATAAGCTACAGTGAAAGGAAGCCAGGACAGCTCCCCTTCCCTGGCTACGTCATTGGCCTACCCTACAGCATGACGCGATTTTTCTTTCGCTTTTCTTACATGCTATTCAGTCAACACTTGTATCAACCGCTGATTGTCAGCTCGATCGTGGTATTCACTCGCTCAAGACATATTAATAGTCAGAATAACCTGTGTGGGAACAGACCTCGAGAAAGGAAATGTGAGGGTTAACAAGGAAGAGGAATCGTGTCTCATGTTTTTCCTATGGCGAGCAACGCGTCTCCCCCGCTCTCTTCCTCTTTCTTGTTCGATCGAGCTTTCTCTAGAGCCCAGTGTCCCTTTGAGGGAGCTCGTGAGGGCTCCATTTTTTCTCATTTTTCTAACCGTGCCAGAGGATGCCCATCTCGCTCGTTTTATCTCTGCGTCCGAATTCCAAAGAAGCTCATCCGTATCTCCAGATCACTTCACGTAAATTTGTATGCTTCCCAGGTGCCAGTGGTCTCCGGTGCGGATTCCCCGGCCAGCCTGCCAACGGCTGGATCATCAACGATGCCACCTTCTACTTCTACCGGGACCTGGCCACGTACCAGTGTGCGGACGGGTTCGTCCTCTACGGGCCGAGGCAGCGGATGTGCTTGGAGAATGGGACGTGGAGCGGGACGCTGCCCGCGTGTGGTCGGTGATTTTTCCCATATTTTCCCAATTTAGGCGGCGATTTGTTGGTAAATATTTGAAGGATGGAGTCACGAAGGCCTGATTACGAAAGGTTCCTTTGTGACCCCCGAAAGATAAGGATTAGCCTCGTTATCTTTCTCGGTGTGGTTGTATTTTTGTGCATCTCTAATGTGCCTCGGTGCGTGGATGAATGGCACGACCCTGCCTTTCGCTGCCATGCCTTTTCTTTCGCCCAGTCTTTTGTGTTCAGATGTTACTGTATATATAAGAGGTGCAGACATGAAGTAATGCATGCTTTTTTTACAGTTTTTCCCAATTGCTAACGTCCGTTTCTCAAAACTACACTTCCGTTTTCAAAACAATTTGAACAAATCCCTGAACTCTGCAATCTTTTCACAAAACTTAACATCCGATTTCATTGCTAACGTACGAAAAGCGAAACTCGAAGTGCGATTTTCATATCTTAAAGGACCTTTTGCGAAATATAATGTACGGAAAAGGATAAGAAGGCCGATTCGACGAGCGCCAAGGATGGATGCATGGCTGACGACTACAATCCATTGGCCAATACTCCAACGAGTCCCTTCCAATCAATCACAAAGATTTTCTCTTGGTTTAGAGTTGTCAGTGCTAAATGCTTCGTCTCAAACGTTGAAAGAATTTCTTTCGTCGATGCAGAAATGTAATTGACAAGCGATAATGCTGACTGCGATTCAGTATTATCCTAAATACCTGATCTTGAGTATCTACTTACGATTAATTTCTGTCATTACCAGCTAAAAAGGGTTGAAAAGGGAATTGCAGCCCCGAGTTTAGCCTCGTTGGCTGCAGGAGTACGTACGTCGTGCATGGGTGAAAATTGTTGCTTATTGCCTTGAGCTGATCGCATCCGTCAGCCATTTTATGGTCATTTTTGTTTGCCATAGGTTACCAAAGTTGTATGACCTTGGGGCCCATTTTCGTTCATAGATATGAGTGTTAAATGCGAAAATCTCATGTTATGATCGCCAAATCTTTCCAACTTAGGCTCGCTCAATTGGTTCGTAGAGGGGTTTCCGACCGGATGCAACGCCCTGCACTCTTTTTGAATGCTGACGAGGGATGCATATTTTTTTTTGCAGCCTCCTAGGAACATACAACCCAGATAGGATCGTGTCTTATTGGTATAGGAAGCGATTTCTGCCATTTTTTAAATGCATAAAAATGCGTGTTTTTACACTTTTCTCAACGTGTGCATATTTACGTTTATATGTGCATATTTACGCATGTTTCGGTCATTTTTATAAAAAAAGTAAGAGTTTTCCAACAATGTTTATTTATGAGCAATCTGACAATTTTCAGGCTGTTATGCACTGGCTGGAGTGGTAAATCCCCGAAACTCTGTTCTAAATCCATCCGCAACCACCATCCCTCTCGAAGAGTTTCGAAAAATAGACNGTGCCATACGTCCTTCACCGAAACAAACTTTCTGATAGAATACATTGCTGGTGTCCTTTAGAGCGAATTTAAGGCACTCATTTCAAAACTCAACGTCCTTGCCTCAAAAAGTAACGTACGCTCCATTGAAAGACATTGAGGAGGTTCTGGTCGGTTTCGCTTTGAATGGCTGACAGGGCGGGCATCGATCCGCGAGACTCCTTTGTTCCTTTTGGAGAGCGGAAATCGAATTTTGACAGCTGTACGCACAGTTTCGACACGGGTACGTTAAGTTTTGAAAGTATTACATATCACATTATCGCCTTTCCGTATTCGGAGGAATTATTTTCCCGGTCTGTTTCTTGGCTGTCCATAGACTTTCCTAACCCCCGTACGTTAGAATATTGAAGAACGTACTCGTACTTTGATTTCGACAAAGGGACGCCCTTTTGACTGCCGGACGCATAGATATGAGAAAAGAGCGCAGCGTTTTGCGGATCGTACGTTAAGTTTTGAAAAATGTCCATTGAGATATGAAATAGGTCTTTAGCAATTGGGAAAAACTAAAATAGGTATAATAACCTGTCTGGGAACAGACCTCGAGAAAGGAAATGTGAGGGTCAACAAGGAACAGGAATCGCGTCACACGTTTTTCCTATGATGTTTTTCCTATGTTTTTCCTACGCGTCTCCCACGCTCTCTCCTTCTTTCTTGTTGGATCGAGCTTTCTCTTTTGCGGAAAGGAGATTCACGACCGAGATGGATTGCCCAGTGTCGCCCTGAGGGGGCTCGTGAGGGCTCCATTTTTTCTCATTTTTCTAACTATAACGAGAGGATGCCCATCTCGCTCGTTTTATCTCTGTGTCCGAATTCCAAAGAAGCTCATCCGAATCTCCAGATCTCTTCACGTACATGTTTATACTTCCCAGGTGCCAGTGGTCTCCGGTGCGGATCACCCGGCCAGCCTACCAACGGCTGGATCATCAACAATGCCTCCTCCTACTTTTACCGGGACCTGGCCAGGTACCGGTGCGCGGACGGGTTCGTCCTCTTCGGGCCGAGGCAGCGGATGTGCTTGGAGAATGGGACGTGGAGCGGGAGGCTGCCCACGTGCGGTCGGTGGCTTTTCCCGTATTTTCGCAGTTCTTGGGGCGATTTCTTGGTAAATGTTTGAAGGATGGAGTCACGAAGGCCGGAGAACAAAAGGTTCCTTTGTGACCCCCGAAAGAAAAGGATGATCCTCGTTTTCTTTCTCGGTGTGGTGGTATTAATATATTTTTGCTTCCCTGAAGAGCCTCGGTGCGTGCATGAAGGGCAGGACCTTGTCCTTTGCTTTCGCCCGTTCTTTTGTGTACAGATGTAACTGGATATTTACGAGGTGCAGTCCTAAAGTAATGCCTGTTTTATTAAAAAATAATTTACTCGTCCAAATATACACTTCAAACTTATCCTACTTTTCAACATAATCTTACCTTTTGTCCAAACGTTCCTGCCATCGCTCTACCCACTTTCGAAACCACTGGAAAACTGCCGAAACGAGTGCCGATCTCGAAGGGAACGAAGTCTCCCGCAAGTGATTCTTTCATTTCCAAAATAGCCAATATTCCTATGGGGCCAGGTCTGAGGAGTAGGGAGAGAGGCGTAACGTTTCCGTAGAATTTTCGATGATAAAAAAAATTGAGTCGAACGCGTGCTCCGTGAGTTGGAGCGTTATCGTGGTGCAGGATGAATTTTCCCACCAGATCCGGTCCTTTTTCTGCGATCGCCAGCAAAAAAGGTCATCCCTGAAAATGTTACGCTTACTGTTAAAATGTTAAAATGTTAAAATGTTAAAATGTTAAAATGTTAAAATGTTAAAATGTTAAAATGTTAAAATGTTAAAATGTTAAAATGTTAAAATGTTAAAATGTTAAAATGTATACCATTTATCGCGGTATCCTTCGGAACAGCGTATGACTGTATGGGACTTTCCTCATCCCAAAAATGCCTATAGGACTTTTTCGTGACGGAGGCGAGTCCTCGTGTTTCCGTTGTTTGGACTGTTTGGACTGTCGGGTTGAACGGCGGAATTCAGGTTACATCTTAGGTGATGACTCGTGCCAAAAAAGTCGGGATCCGCCCGTTATCGCGTTAGATTTTCGCATGCGTCGATGCGAGCTGGTTTCTTGCCATCTTTTAACTTCGACGTGTTCGAGTCTTCGTGAGTGATTTCGTGAACCGTTCCGTGTGTCGAACCGGCCATGCCGCAAATTTAATCAATTTTCAATCTTCTGTTCCTCGTAATCGACTGTTCATATACGATTTTTGACCGGCTGTGAAGCTCTTCATCTTCATGAACGAGGTTCATCTTTCGTCGACTCCCTTCCTTCTGCAAACTCGTTTGCCTACCGTCTGACGTTGCTTTCGTCCAGAGCATTATCGCCACAGACCTCTGATAGTTCGCGATGAATGGGACACGGTTTTTCTCCTCTCGCGAAGCCAGGGTTCTTTTCCGACGCTGCTTACGAACTGGCAAAAAGTTGTAACTGACAGCCACTACAAATTCAATTGGGCCACGCCCCCACCAGTCCAAAGTTCGCATGAATTGCTCCGCAAATTACTTTATGACTGCACCTCGTATATGATCACGCCACTTTGAAACCTCGGAGAAGAAGATAAAAAAATGAAAGACGTCGTCGCGGAGATGACGCTTTTCATCGGTCGACTCGTCCTCGGCCGAGAAGGGAAAAAATGTCGGATTTTGGGTCGTAGAGTTCAACTTGGCCCGTGGAAAGGTGAGCGAGCAGAGCCTGACGCCATCGAATTATCTGTCGGATCTGGCCGTGGACGGAGACCCGGGAACGTGCTCGTGCGCGCTGAGGGACACGTATTCGTCGAGGTCGGGCACATTTCATCACTTTTATTGCATTTCTATCACGTGATGTTGATTTGCTGCGGATTCTCATGCAGGTGGTGGCAGGTGAACCTGGGACGCAGGTACAATATCGCCTCCATCGACATCCGCATCCAGCGAGGTATATGCTCTTGCGTCGTTATCGCATCGATTTTCGGATGATCGTTGCGCGTCGTTCGTGGCGATGCCGTTGTGTGATGCTCGCCGTGGAAGACGGCCGCGAGAGGTCGCGAAATCCAACGGAATCCCCAATGGCGGGATCGTGTGGAAGTTGACAGACGAACGGCGGATTGTAGAGTGGTTTTGCTCGGGGCGTGTGCTTTTCTCTCTCCCTGGACTTGAAATGCGCTGCTCAGGCCCATCCTTGTCGTAGCGTTTTTTTTTTCCTCTGATCCTTTCATGCCTGTGCATCTGCCCTGCATTCCTCTGACATATCGTTAGAGTCTCGAGTCCGTCTGTCACGTTCATGAGACTCTAGGGAGGCTTCCGTCCGCCGTTCTGGTCGGTCTGGGACCGCCTTTTGCACATCTCATTAGGCCGTAAAAAGGCTTTTCATCCGCCATTCACGACCGGTCCTTTCTCGATTTCACGACAGGAATCGGCTGTCGTGAAATCGAGCTATCCCGGTCCCCCCCCCCCCCACATACAAAGCAAGTAAATATGCGTTGAATGACGTCCGTATGGGGACCGTATGTTCAGCACTTCTAAGTAGCGTGGACCAAGGAGGTTGCCCTATGGGCCTTGGTGCTCGCAGAGAGATCAGCAATTATGGTAATCTGCCGGTCGGACTCGTCTTCCCGCTGACAAACTTTTTTTTTTCTCTGCTTGCGTGAACGCTCTGATGCCAGATGTCATTAACCTCTTTGCCATCGACGAGAAAATCGTAGGACCTCGATTCCAGCTCGATTTATAGGGACGGATTCACTTCCCCTCGTACTATTCCTACGCTGCTCGTGGGGGGATAATTCATTTTTTTTTGTACTTGGCAGGCGCTAGATGAGGAAGAAGCACCTCGTTGTGGTATGCCGCCGATAGCGGGACGTTGCACGCACTTTGTTTGTGGTTTTTGCTTAATGTGTAAAATCTTAAGAACGACTGCTCTGGTGGGTAAGATAGGGGGGGGGGGGGAAATGAGGGTCGTGATTGACTTTGCGTGTCTGATTTTGGGGCACGAGCCCCCGGGTTCTTCACGACTCTGGTCTCCCGTTATATCATTTTTTAAATCATTTGCTCGGAGGGAGAGCGTGCAATAAAATATTTGATGAGGGGAGTGGAGCGTGGAGGGTCACGAGTTACAGTCATTGCTACCTACGGAATATTCACGACGCTTCGAGGTGTGGACACGTGGGATGACACGTTTCTCGTTTTCCGACGCAGGGACGTACCAGGCATTCACGGTGTTCTTGATCGACGTGCGGGAGGAAAAGCTGGCGCTGTACGAGGAGTGCGCGAGGTTCTCGGGGACCTTCCCCAACGACAATAAGATGTTCAGATGCAAGGAGGGACTGGGGACCCCGGGGCAGATCGTCTACATCAGGGACGACCGGCAGACGCAGGCGTCCCTGTGGCTCTGTGAGGTCCAGGTCTTCGCCTCTCGAGGTCTGTTGCCTTCCTGGGAGGGGATGGCAGGGACTTTTTATTTCTCGGAACCGTTGCTGAAGAGAACGGTGCGACAGGGTGGTCCGAAAAGAAAGAACTAGAAACCGGAGAAGTGCGATGCATCAGCTCCCTGGAATAGTCAGCTCCGCTGTTTCGAACACTGGCTGTCACCGATCAATTGCCCTGTCAAAAACTCTATAAATTATAAATTGTAAATTATAAATGACAAATCCAGTGGTTCGGGGCCAGTGGAATGCCTGGTCTGTACCCGGACTGGTACTCTCTAGTTTTTTTTCTTTCTCTCGATCGGAATCCGATATTTTGTGCAGATGTGCGTGAATGAGCATCTCAGACTCGGGAGAGGTTTCCGAATCCGTCTGGAAGAGACCCGTGTCCTTTAATGAATTAATGAGTTTCAAAATTCCCAGGTCGGATAATGACGTTAATCGTGTGTTTTTCTCTTGGTGATGCTGCTTGAGGAGCCGAAGGAAGCAGTGAATTAATACCCGAGTCTCTCTCGGAAAAAAAAAGTATTTAATCTCGCTTACGAAGTATCTTCTTTTTAGTCTTCAAGAATGACAATGGAAAGTGAACCACATGCACATCTCTTTTTTAAAATGCCTATGAGGCCCATAATTTATTCCTCATTGATGGACTTCGAAGAAATCAATGTCACGAAATGAGGGTGGGAGGGGGGGAGGGTCTCATCACGGATATCTGTTGCCCCCCTCGTTCCCCTTTACCCCCTCACGAATGAATTGATTACACCCTTGATTACACCGTCTCTTTCAATGACAGTGACGGACATCACCCAGTAGATTACATCTGAAATAGCAGTGATAGCGACAGACTTTTGGGGATCCAAGATCCTTCTCAAATCCCTCTGGTCCAAACCTCTTCATCCCGAGTCGCGAGATTATTGAGATGCTGCCGGGCCACCTGGTATCTGTGGCACGGAACCGAAAGAGGATTTTTTTGCGTTTCTTGCAGTTCCTTCCAAGCCGAACAACCTGCGAATGGTGGATCGGACGCCGACGACCATCGCACTCAAGTGGGACCGGCCGGACCACGCCATCAACTCCATCATCGGCTACGAGTTGTACTGGAACGTCGCCTATTCGACGGTGAGATGGCACGTGGGTTTTTTTTATTACGGTCGGAGGACGACAGAGTGCATAACTGTCTCAATTATCTAAAATTGGCAGGAAGTGAACGGTGTGCTCTGCGTTTCGTGCAGGCATAAGCTAGGTCATTGTACTTTGTCTTGCCGCCACTATCTACTACGTCTGATAAGGTCATCGCCTGTTATAGCGTTTTGGGTCGTGAAGTCGTTGCTTGGAGAGTGTTATCTTATGACTCGGAATAAGTACTTTTATTCAGAGCGTTCAGGACACGATCAGGCTTCACGTTTCGAAAATTTTATTTTGACCGTGTCCCCTTAAAAATTTTAGTTATTATTCTGAATATGCAATGTGAATGTTTCTTTGAAATGATTTAATTTCTAAGTGAATCATTTTCTGCGATCCCATGTAATTGTCACATGTTACTCCCGATAAATTGTGCATGCAGTATAGTGTTCTGTTCCCTAAGATTATGGATTTGCCAGTTTATGGGATGAAGTGGAATACCATTTTTAGGATTTGACTCTGAATTGTGTGGTGGGTTTTTAATCCGTCCAGTTATGTTTTTGTATTCTCATAAATTTCTAATATACTACTAGTAATTGTGCTCCTCATCTTGGTATCAGAATATGTGCCAAGACAACAAGAAGTGAGCATTTTTGTTGTCTGTGGCGTGCAGGAAGTGAATCGCAGAAGCATTCCGGTCGTGGAAGAGTACCTCCTCACCAGCCTTCATCCGAACAAGCAGCACTTCATTTGGCTCGCTGCGAAAAGCATGGAGGGCGAAGGTGCATCCACTCCTGCCTTGCAGGTCTCCACACAGGAGTTCGGTAAGTAGGGGAACGGGCACTAGGGCGCGAACGTGACGGGATCTCGGTCATGTGGATCGGAGTAAGAGCTGACGGGAGGGAGTCTTTCGCAAGGAAGCATGAGGATCTTGTATGCTTTTTTGTGACACTTATACCCGCAGTCTCGTTTTAGTACCTTTGCTGCATTCTGGACGAATCGATGAACAATGGGCGAAATCTGCACCACTTCAGCCCATGATCTGAACTATTGGCAACATACGAGGTTGGCCCATGGTGAAAATAACAGACGTTTAGTGTCTATATTTCAATGAGTACTCCGCCCACTTCTCATCCAGGTATGAGAAGTGGGCAATCTCAAATAAATATGTACAGTAGTGCCTTGAGCAGTAGTGTTTTTCAAGGAGGTCTTCATTCAATCTTAGTCCCACAAATACAAAATATATTAATGATATGGACAAGTCCCTCATCAAACTGGATAGTACGGGCAAAATATTTATCCAAAAGCCTCTTTCACTAGTTATTATCATCACTAGTCATCACTGGTCTATTATTATTTATTATGGCTATTGTATATGTGAACGCAGAAGATTTGACTTGTACCGAAATCTGTGGGAGATAGCCTTTTATTTTCAGTTTCTTTGTTAGCGATACCACCGATTTTGGGAGATGGACATTCGAAAAACCTTTATCTGAAGTGCTCTCCAAACTTCATATAGTGAATACATGAGTTTGTATACTGTATATGCGTATGGTTTCTCCCATGGGTTCATTTGTCTTCCCACAAGATGGCGTCACGTACCGTATGTCTCATACAAATGTCGCCGTATTGCCTCTGTACTTACCTGACGTGATAGCGCCTGATATGTGACATTGAATTGGCCTTTTTGATTTGGCAGTTTGGTTCGCGGAGCACTTACATGAAATTCCTGGTGCTATTTCCCAGTTATTTTTAGACTTTTTCATTGACCAGTGGCGGTCGCGTTAGGCGACGATTGTCGAAGACGGTGGAGGTGATGTTGGAGAATTTTTGTCGCTGACTGTACCAAAGAGTCGAAGTATTCAAATGCATTGCTCTTCAATAGATTCCGGGTCTTTTATGTCGTGAATAAATTATCGAAGAGCCATAGTTTTGCCCACACTGCAGTTACTTAGAATGTTAAAATGCAAAAAAAAATTGTAATGCTACGTTCGATCCGAAATTTTAACATCCCTTCACATCCACCTAAAAAAAGTGAACTCCCTACTTTCTTTTCATCCAATGTATACCGCTATGGGAAAGTAGAATGACGAGGAAGAAATAAGTTTTCGCCATACCCACAGACCGGGTGCCATGTGGAGACCCCGAGCAGCCGATCTACAGCAGCGTGAACCGGACGGAGAACCAAGCTCATTATTCCTGCCTCCCCGGCTTCATCTTGAAGGGGGAGACGGTACGGAACTGCCTGGCTGAGGGGCAGTGGTCATCCTCGCCTCCGACGTGTGTCGGTCTGTCAAAATCGCTTATTGATGGGAGTTAGTGGGGCGTGATGGGGGGGGGGGGGGGGGGGGGGAGACTACGGCTTAGGTGACGCGACAAACCACAGACAAAAGAAATGCTCACTTCTTGTTGTCTTGGTACATTCTGATACGAAGGTGAGGAGCACAATTACTAGTAGAATATTAGAAACTTATGAGAATACAAAAACATAACTGGACAGATTGGGCGTGCGGAACGGAATTGAATTCATGGAGAAAACGGAAGGGAAGACGTGGACCGGATAATGCGAGAAATGTACAGATCCATGTCGATCAGACCGTATGACGCAGAGAGATTGAATTTCATTGGACTGGAATATTATTCGACACGGATTCTATATTGCAGAGCAAGAGTGCGAGGCGCCGGTGCAGATCGAGAATGGATTCTTCCTCTTCCCCGACTTCAAAGGCAGATACGTGTTCGGGCTTCGGGCCATCTACGAGTGTAACCCAGGGTTTCTTCTCTGGGGAAATGCCACGAGGACCTGCAGTCCTCTTGGGGTCTGGTCCGGGTCTGTACCGCAGTGCAAGAGTGCGTATTTCATTCGCTTCCCAATTTTTAATTTTGATATAAGTTATGTCTCTTTTTAAGTACATGGTACTTTTTCATACCATATGTCATGTTTTGCTAATTATTGTAGAGGTGCAGTGTCCGGCTCCACCGTCGTTCGCAAATGCTGGATTGATCCTTCCCAACGGATCCGAATGGAAGGCCGTTGCTGTTTATCGATGTGATCCTGGATTCATCCTGCCGGATGGTGAGTTTCTCACTTCGGCCTCTTAGTCCAAGTGCATTCATTTTTCGAGTGCTCGACTGACCGACGCGTGATCGTTGAAGGCGGAAGGGAGTTGAGGGCCCGATGCATCGACTCGGGGGAGTGGGAGTCGGTCGTGGTGGACTGCATGAACGAGACAAGGGAGGACCGAGGATGGAGTCTGGAGACAGAGGTGCCCCGCACGAATGAGGAACACGAGGGTGCGAAGGAAAGAGAGGGAAATGTGACGGGTGGACTGACGGAGGCGTCGAAGGTGGAGGTCATCGTGGGGATCACCGCCATGACTGTCGTCCTGTGTCTCATTCTGGCCATCATGGGATATCTCTTTCTCAAGCGCAGGTGATGTCTTGCCTCCGTTTCCGGAGTGGGGGGAGTGGTTCCTGGAATGAGCCCAGGAATACGACGACCGATGACGAATTGTTTTTGGAGATAATCGAGACACGTGGGTTAGATTTCCAAAGCTCCTTCGGGGGAATGAGATTTTCAAAATCCGATGCATGTTCGGAAAAAGTCTCGTTTTCGCTATTCCAGTCTAAAATGAGTAGGGATGGATCGTTCTCCGCATACTACCCTGTATATGCAAAGTTCCCCTTGTTTTGCAGGCGTTCTCGAGGCGACGTGAAGAAGAGCGTGCTAAATCCGCGCTCCACCCCACGCTGCCCCTGTATCGAAGCCCGCGACCACTTCTACGACGAGGTCTACACCCCGTCGACTCGCAGCCATCTCTCCTCGGCCGCCGGCGCGGGCCAGACCCCAGCGACAGGCGACGACGACTCCCTGGAGCCGATCTCCATCTACCACCCGATGGACTCTTCCATCTCGGACGGCTCGTCCTCCGTCAACGACAATCCCTCTCTCATCTACGACGTGCCGGGGAAGGGACAGTCGGACCAGGAGCATCGATACCAGAACCTCCCAGTCCTGAAGCCCCTCCACACCTCCAAGGACATCACGATGCCCGACATCATGGTATCGACGAACGTCCCTCCAGACATCCTCGCCCTCTACGCCAAGGTGAACAAGTCGAAGATGACTAAGACGAAGGGATCGGAAGCACCAAACGACCCACCCAGATCCTCCAGTCCCTCCTACTACAACCCGATCCCCGCTCACTCCCGTCCCAACTCGGACTACGAGACCCTGGACGAAGCCAACCAGAAGCAGGAAGAGGGCGTCATTTACGACGAGATCGACGTCCCGACCCGTGAAACCGATCGCCAGCAGTCACACGAGGAACAAGATGGACGAGCCCATTCCAATAGTGGGCCTCCTTTCGTTTAAGAAGGCCCTCATTTTGTCGAGGACTCTCGAGAATTCATGCCTTCCCACACCCCTCTCCCCCAGCAAATTTCAAATCCAAAATTCGCGATGAAAATAACAATTTTGGGGCGAATTTGCCACGAAACAAACTTAGCCTACATCTTGTTCATCTCAACTTGCTTTCTAATTTTCGCATCGATCAAGTCGATATTGTTTTGTTATCGTTGGACAACCAAAGTGTGACACACGAACGGACAGAACGAGAACAAAAGTGTTCCCATTCCAATCAGGAAAGGAGGCCCAGTAAAAAGTGATCAACACCAACGCGAGGCCCCTCCCGCCCATCCCTGACGCCCGGGACTCTCGGTGGAGTCCCGTCCCCCAGATCCACGCGATGTGAGCGAGGGGAACGCAGCGCGGATCGGCCCCGGGGGTATTGCACGGGGCCGATTCGCGCTGCAAATGCAATACCCCGTGCAATACTCCCGAAACGACAATAGGTTCTGTCCTTTTCGGGATCCGAAGAGCCTAGATGAGTCCCGTGCCGTTCCTCGACCTCTTCGCGTAGAAAGATTTTATCTCTCTGAAATCTCGCATCGGCTCGTCACCATATTGGAACCGTGGGTTGTCGTTCGGATTCTCCTCCTCGCCTAAAGACCCGTGTTAGGAATTACCGAATCATTTTAAGGGGAAACAGATGCAGATTTTTGTTATACAGAACATGGCTGACACAATGGCAAAGTTTTTGAAACGAGTCTCACGGATTGGGCAGGACCAATGATTCCAAATCGCCCACTCGTCGAACGTGAAAAGGCGAATACCCTCCATTTGCATGCGCCTCTTCCAAAACCCGTTTTGAGAGTTTTATCGCAGCAGATGCGATCTCGTGCCGAAAAGGCAGGAAAGTGCAAGAGTGAGGAAGACGGATGGGAGGACGGTAAGAAGATGACGGATTCGGCAACCGTGACGAATGGGGGGGAAATTCCAAGCAGATCGACGAGCATCCGAGAGTCTTCGCTTTGAGCAATAGTGATATTAAAACCGATTTTCAATGGTTTATCCTTTCTTCAAGTACTAACTCCAACTTGAACTTCACCCTCACCTCCCATTCGTTCCAGAAGGTCACGTGACCCCAATTGTTGCAGAAATATAGCCACTTTTAAATAATAAAAAACAAGGTTTTGTTTAGGTACGGATGAAAAATACTTGAACATACTGAGTTAATGGAAAACACAAGGAAGGCAGCAGACCCAAAGGGCAATGCTAATATTGTGCTTTTCAACAAGTTGAAAAACGCAATTAACTGCATCGAAGACAAGCAAAGAACGCGGCATCATTATACCGCGTTCCTTTCCTACGCTTCCTGAATCATGGTCCCAAGTAGGAATCGTACATCCGATTTACGTCTGGCTTTGCTATTTACTATATTTGCTTGGGTCTTGGAGCATTTTTCACCTTGGGTTTGCGTCTTGCCCGCATCCTCCTAGTCGAACTTCTTAAACGGGTTCGACAGATCCGACCCCCAATAACTGTAGGCGCGGTTATGGGTCGCGGAATGATTCCCTTGCGGCCCTTGGGGTTTCCCGAATTCCCCGACGTAAGTCGGTCCGCCGATCCGCTTACCATCATTCAAATCCTGGTTTTCTTCCACGGACCGAACGAGCGTTCCATCTCGATTCGGTCGAAGCTCATCCGGCCTCAGCCGCCCCTGTCTGGCGATCGTCGACGACTGCGACGACGCCAACGAGTACTTTCTCCGCGACACGGACCTGTCGCTGCTGTCATCCCCCGGGAACTCCGGCCAGACCGGGAACGGGGCCGTCGTGATCGACGACCGCTGTCGCTGTCGCTGCCGGTTCCGCTGTCGCTGTCGCTGCCTCCAAACGTTGCGTCCCTCCTTGCGCTCACATTGCGCTTTCCTTCTGTCCCTCGCCCAATCACAACATTTAGCCATCCGTCAGGTCCCACTCGTATGCAAATCGTTTTTTCATCGAAGCAGGTGTAAAGAATATGCGCCCTGCATACTGCGCCCAAGAAGACCCATCATAGCCAGAAGCAAATTAAAATAAATTTAAAAGTCGTACCGATTCGACATCATCGTCGAAAATGCGATCCGTAAAGTGGGAATACCGTGCTACTAGCTGGATGAGGGATTAACTGCTAATTATGCTAATTCTACTTCTAGACTGTCTAAGTGAAATGTGTCGAGTAACCACAACAAGGTCAACCTTTGAACCCATTTCTTGCGTCCACCTCTCTCAGTTTCAAGGATTTGGGACTTTCTGCAAGACTGCAAGTCTTGTTTGCGGTTAATGTAATACCATGAGGTTTAAAATGCAATGGAGGTTGCAACACCTCTCCACCATCTGTTAAGTTGTTGACTCCGGATCTGCGGAGACGAACATTCTCGACGAACAATATCTCCCCCAGTGTGTGTGTGTTTACTTGTTGCGGTTTCTGCGATTTTATCGGGCTTCTTAAACGAAAGGAGGCCCACTACTGGAATGGTCTTGCCCATCTCGTTCCTCGTGTGACTGCTTGCGATCGGTTTCGCGGGTCGGGACGTCGATCTCGGCGTAGATGACATCCTCTTCCTGCCTCTGGTTGGTTTCGTCCGGGGTCTCGTAGTCCGGGTTGGGACGGGAGTGAGCGGGATCGTGTCGTAGTGGGAGGGACTAGAGGATTTGGGTGGGTCGTTTGGCGCTTCAATTGGTTCCCTCTCGTTCTGCTGCTAATATCAAACAGGAAAAACCTACCACGATATACGTTATCGATTCCCTTAATGATCTTACATTCTCGGATTGAGGTCTCCCCTAGTTTTCTCTTGAGCGAGTATATTCCCAACGTTTCTAGGCCCCTCTCATATGGAAGTCCCCTTACCTCCTTGATTATTCTCGTGTCCCGCCTCTGGGCTCTCTCGAGCGCCGTTAGTTCACCTTTATTCCTGGGCCTCCAAAACTGAAGGCGATACTGCAAATGATGTCGTACCAGCGCCGCATACAACAGAAGAATGATGCGCGAGTTCCTGCTGGCGATTGAACGTCAGACTGTGCCTAGAATACTGTTACATTTAGCTACGGTCGCTGGCGCGTGTGCGGAGAACTTGAATTTTTCATCTAAAGTAATTCCTAAATCTTTCTCTCCGCTTGCTTTCTCCAGTTCAGCGGAGCCGTACTCTCTCAAAGATCTATCATTTTTATAACCGACGTGAGAACCTTGCACTTACTTTTACGAGTAAGTGAAAGGTTTATGAGGTTTCAAGAGGTTTAACACGAGTGAAACTCTTTTTAACCCTTATGAGTTTAATACGAGTATTTTCTATCTTGTCAACGAAAAAAAAAGAATTTTTTTCACTATCGAAGAGCTTCATAAGTCACCAGAAGAAAAACAAGAAATCCCTTCAGAGCTAAAAAAATTGCGACGTTTCCTTTGAAGAAGGATATCCAACAGGGGTATCAGCCGAAACCACGACGTCAAATGGAAACGGAAACCGCCGAACCCTGGATAAGGAATCCTTCCCCCACCCCTCCTGGACCCGAGAAGGGGAAATGAAGCCAGATACTGAGCTAGTGGACTCCAGGCAAAGTTCCTCTCCGCACCCGTCGGATATATAAGATTCCTCCAGGCGAGTTCCTAGTCACATTCTGGCTCTCCTCAGTGCGGAAAGACGAATTTCGAACCGTCTTACTATTCATCCTCTAAGATTTTAGTTTTTTATTTATTTTCCTGTTCTGAAATATTTCCACATAGGGAAAACAAATTCGGTTCCCTTAATTTCTCATCCAATAAGTGTCAAATAAAAGGGTGTTAATGTTGCTACTCTTCATCGAATATAATTATTGTAATCAAGACCCTGTAAAAGAATATGTCTTTCCAATTACTCCAGAGGCCAAGCTATTTTTTCATTGATTGCAATTGATTAGGTGTAAGAGAGGGAAATAATTGCATATTTCAAAGTAACAATGCAAGATATGCTTTCAAGGAGAATCTAAGATCTAACTGAGCATGAATCTAACTAAATTCCTCCTGAAAAGAAAAAATTCATTTTGAGGAGGAATTTCGCATTAAAACGACAAAGCTATCAAATCAAGTTTGAATATTATGCTGATTTCTGATTCGTGTATCATTCCCATGCATCAACGAAATACGAAGGCATGATGACAAATTCCGCTTTTTCTGTGGCGTTATTTTTTTTCAAAGCGCGCCAAGACCCTTCCCAAATACGAGGTTGATTAATTCTTGGAAAAGTGGACTGTACCAGTGGGAGCATATTCCTTTCACACGAGAAGGAGGAAATACGAGCAGGAATTTTGCAGGTTCAGCTTAGCAATTCCTGAAAGGCAAGAGGCAAGAGATTTGTTCTCGGAATCGCTCCCTATGGTGTGGGTACGTTAGGGGGCTTTCCTCTCATCGGCCTGTAGATTTCATTGTCGATTCCGAACATCCGATTCCCACAATACGGTCCTTTTAGTGTCAAGGTCTGTTGTTTCGTTAGTGTAGGTGATTTTCTGCTTCACCCAAGGATTTCTGAATCACATTCTTAATCGTTATCATATGAAATTCACGTTTTCGGGGGATGCGCTTTCATGTACACTACAATTTTCGAGCAATTTACAAATTATTCTTAAATTTTAAATTTAATTTACAAATTTAAGCTTAATTTTTGTGATCTTTCTTACCATATTCACCAGTGTTTCTTCTGCAAAATACTTTCTTCCAACGGCATGATTTAAATGCCAGAAAAACTTAGTAACGCTTCTTGCATCCGGGATTTAAATATCCGTCGGTAAAAGGTTAACTCGAAAACGCCATGTTTCATTTTGGAAGACTTCAGTAAAAAAAAAAAAGAATTTCTTTTTCATTTTGTGAATTTGCCTCGTTAATCCGTGAGATTTTAGCACGGTACTCCCACGGAAAGTTTGAAGTGCTATTAACTCACGCGATCATTCATTGCGCACTTGCTGAACAAATCCCCTCCCAGCTCTTATCGAACGAGTCGACAGAGCGTGGAAAAACACTTCCTATCTTTCGGCGAACAGAACACGAGTAATAACTTGGGATGCCCGAAGAGACACTGCACGGAACTGGCAAAATACAAAAACATGGGATGCATGTCCTGTTTCTTGAATCTGCGGACGCTAAAAGTCCATCATTGG